CAGGCATGAGCCATCATGCCTGGCCAGGATTAAAATATTAAAACAATATGAAACTACAGTAAAATTGTTATATCATAAGGATAAATACAACCTTGTCAGGAAAGTAATTAACAAAAATAAAAGAAAAGGAAAGAATAAATGCAACTTTGTGGTGGAGGAGGAGGAATAAAGTGATAATGAAATTAAGAGATTATAAAAAGATTCTCCTTGATCATATAGGATGATGAGAAAGACTGACCCTATTCACATTATTATGGAAGATAGGGAAATTGGTTAAAAATATTTCATCTATTTCCCATTTCAATCTTTAGAAGGTACATCTGCCCCTAAATAGCCCACAGTACACAGTCTCTTTGGAAGGAGAGACTGCAAAGTTAACAGTGACTTTGAGAGGCGACTCTGGTAGACTGAATAATGCCACCTGCCAAAATGTCCATATCCTAATCCTTGGAACCTGTGAATGTCACTTTATCTGGCAAAGACTTTGCAGATGGGTTTAAATGATTTGAGATGGGGAAATTACCTAGATTATATAGGTGGGCCCTAGGGAGGCAGGCTGGGCACATTGACTCATGCCTGTAATTCCAGCATTTTGGGAGGCCAAAGCAGGAGGATCACTTGAGGCCAGGAGTTCAAGACCACCCTGGGCAGGGCGCAGTGGCTCACGCCTGTAATCCTAGCACTTTGGGAGGCCAAGGTGGGTGGATCACCTGAGGTCAGGAGTTCAAGACCAGCCTGGCCATCATGGTGAAACCCCATCTTTATTAAAAAAAAAAAAAAAAAAAAGACCACCCTGGGCAACATCATGGGATCTTGTCTCTACAAATGTTTTCACAAAATCAGTCAGGTGTGGTGACATGCACCTGTATTCCTAGCTACTTGGGAGGCTGAGGCGGGAGGATTACTGGAACCTAGCAGTTCCAGGCTGCAGTAAGCTATGATTGCACCACTGCAGTATGGCCTGGGCAACAGAGCAAGATTCCATCTCTTAAAAAAAAGAGACATATTTGACAAAACACAGAAGAGGAGGAGTCACAGATGCAGAGATTATAGTGATACAGTACTAAACCAAGTTAAAAATCAATGTCAGCAGCCACCAGAAGCTAGAAGAGATAAGGAACGGGTTCTCCCCTAGAGCTTCTTGAGGGAGCACAGCCCTGCCAACACCTTGATTCTGGCCCAGTAATACTGATTTTGGATTTCTGGCCTCCAGAACTATGAGAGAATAAATTTCTGTTGGTTTAAGCCACTAAAGTTGTGATAATTTGTTACAGCCGCCACAGGAAACCGTTATAAGGGACTAATCCAGCATTTCCAAAAATTGGAACTATTCAGCCCAACCCATTTAACTCCAGTCACTTACAGAAAAGAAGCCGTCTGTGATTCTGAGGAAAAGGAGCAACTAAACAGAAAATATAACACAAGATTCATTTGTTCAACTTAGTGGAATAGCAGGGCAAAATCTCCAATCTTGCAGCCATATTGCTATATAAAAGGATAGCAACAATCCTAAAACAACACATTTGAAGAAGGAAAGTAGCAGTTACAGAGCAAGGAAAATGAATTACTCAATCCTGCCAGTTTAGAGATTGCCAGATGTCAAACATCAGAAAGAGACTATATGCCATAGAAAAAAGATGGCAAAGTAAATGGTAATCCAGAATAATACCTATCATTTACAGTTTCCAAGGCATTTCCAAATGCACAATAATAGCAACCACACCGAGTACTATGTACTGCATGCTTTCTATTCGTTATCTCATTTAATCCACACAAAACTATCAGGATAAGTACTATAATACCCATTTTACAAAAAGTAAGCAAGTTAAGGAACAGGCCAGAAATGGCAGAATTGGATTTAGAAACAATGTTTGTTTGGCTCCAAAGTCAATCCTCTTTGTATGGGGCTAGCCTGCTTTACACCATTAATCCTCACACATGCTCGGTAAAGTGGACTGTGAGCTCCATCAAGACAGGGACTAAGTATCTGCCTTGTTCACCACTGCATCTGGTGATCAATAAATATTTGTTAAATGAATGCAGAGAACAGATGAGGCATACAGAGATTAAGCAACATCTCCAAGATCACACAGCCAACTATTTGGCAGGGCTGGGTCCTCTGATTCCAAATCCCATGCACTACAAACTTATTAAGATCCTACAGAATACGGAGCTATGTGTGTATCTTGTGTAAGTTGGTGAGGGAGACAGATAAAGGACAGAAAAGTGTTTTTAAATAAATGAATAAATAAATACTGATATCCTCACATGAGTGAAGGTAGATCTAAAGACTGACTGGAAAAGGTGAATTTGGAGCATTCAGGAAGAAGATGAAGGATGTTAATTGAAGGTGATGTGGTAAAGCATTGCTGGATGAGGGAATGAATTGTCTAGTCAAAGGCCAATGTAAATTGTATTCAGGGGAATACAGCCATTCCCCCAAATACCATGCCATCAGTCACAAGGGTATGTGAGTACATGCCAGTGGCAGCTTTGCCTAAGAATTGAAGCAGAATAAGTGATTCCATGTGGTGAAGAACTTCTGAGCCAACTGGGCAGAGATTCTGCTTGCCTGAAGCTGAACTATCTGCCAGACTCTCCTAAAGTACTGGCTGGACACCCAGACTGGAAATGAGAAACTCAAGAATAATGAGAAAGACTGCGATGGGAGGATGGGGAGATAGGAAAGAAAATCACCACAGAGTCTGAAGCCTGACTAATTGCCTTTTGTCACCACAATCCACTTGTTCCCTCATCCTTGCTAAAGATATGAAAGTTTTTACAGGATGCCCAGTTTAGGAGCCAAAGCAGAGGCTCTTCAGGTAACACAGACAAGAAAAAGGGTGTACTCCTCTATAACGTTAATAAATGCCTATGGAAGCCTTCAGATTCAATGTGACTACTAGGGGCTCCTCCTGTGCCCAGAGGCAAAAACCTTCCCTTGATCTTGACTTAGAGACTTCAAGTAGTAGGACAGTAGCCAATAGCAGTTCCATCACACAGCCTTGTTAAATCCAGGGATTACATTGGAAAAATAACAATATTTCCTCATGAGTTTCGGATTCATCCATTTGCATCCCCAGCACCTGGCAGTGTGCCTGCCCTATAGTAGGAGTTCAAATTGTATGAAGAACAAAGGGAAACTGATGATAAATGAATCATTAGGCACACACAGCAAAATGGCTCTAAAAATCTGTTTTCATAGGAATTTTTGCGTTTACATTATCAGGATTTAAGAGTGGGAAAAAATGAAGCATGTTCTACCTCAGGAATGATGAACCAACAAATTTGAGCTAACAATCATTTTTAGGTACCCATTATATGGCAGTTGCAATGTTTCGGTTAATCCATATTGTAACCCTTAAGGAAACTGAAGCTCAGTGAGGTTAAGTCCATTCCCGAAAAATTTAGCTGGTAAGTGACAAAGATCTCCAAAGCCTGCGTGTGCTCTTTTCACTAAACTTTCTTTCTTTCTTTTTTTTCTTTTGAGACGGAGTTTCGCTGTTGTTGCCCAGACTGGAGTGCAATGGCACGATCTCGGCTCACCGCAACCTCCGCCTCCTGGGTTCAGGCAATTCTCCTGCCTCAGCCTCCCGAGTAGCTGGGACTACAGGCACGCACCATCATGCCCAGCTGATTTTTGTATTTTTAGTAGAGACGAGGTTTCACCTTGTTGACCAGGATGGTCTCGATCTCTTGACCTCGTGATCCACCCACCTCGGCCTCCCAAAGTGCTGGGATTATAGGCGTGAGCCACCGCGCCCGGCTAAACTTTCTTAAAAAAAGAAAATCTACAGAAAAGCCCTGTAACTTTTCTCTATATTGTTAAACTAGAAATTAAAGGTAGAGTCATTTCCAGGTCAAGCAGGACCTGGCCAAACAGAGGAATGTCTTTTTTTTTTTTTTTTTTTTTTTTGAGACAGTCTTGCTTTGTCGCCAGGCGCCAGGCTAGAGTGCAGTGACACGATCTCGGCTCACTGCAACCTCCGCCTCCCTGGTTCAAGCAATTCTCCTGCGTCAGCCTCCCTAGTAGCTGGGACTACAGGCGCGTGCCACCAAGCCCAGCTAATTTTTGTATTTTTAGTAGAGAGGGGGTTTCACCATGTTGGCCAGGATGGTTTCGATCTCTTGACCTCGTGATCCGCCCGCCTCGGCCTCCCAAAGTGCTGGGATTACAGGCGTGAGCCACCGCGCCTGGCCAGGAGGGATGTCTTATAAATTCCAGGCTTAAATTCTGTATTCTATACCCTTCACTATATCTTCCTTGTTACTTACACTATAAATCTGTAACTCAAACTCAGACAGGAAACTACACTGGTTAAACAAAAACGACAAAGAAAACCCTCATATCCCTCTTTCCAGAAATCAGACATCTTTAAGACGAAGGTTTCTAACCCAAATAGAGTTTCTAACCTGGCGCATTTCCACAGAATTTAGGATTGAAAGAGCCAAGGCCTGGGATTTATCCTCAGTTCCTGGGCAAGGGCCAGGAAAACACAGCCAGACAGCAAGGCCGGAGTTGTGAGTCTCCATACTAAAAAAGATACCAAAGTCAGATACTAAGCCACAGGAAGCCGCTGTGGGATCAATGGTACAGGTCCGGATTTAAATGCACAATTATTATGAGTAACTTGCAAAGGCACTACCGAGTTCCGCAGTAAATCTGAAGTTGCCCTGAAATTTCAGAGTGAAGTAAGTAAAGAATATAAAAGTCAAGGTCAAGGAGCTGAAGCAAATTAACAGGGAGTCCAAGAACTGCAGAGATCACAGAGGAAAGATTGAGAGGGTGTGGACGAGAAACTGGATCTGAAATAAAAGACAGGACTCCACACAATGGGGACTGGTTCTCAAAGGCAGAGAGATGTTAAGGTATTAAGCTAGAGAAGGAATTCCATTTCGAAAGGAGAAAAGCTTAGGAAGAGAAGCGGATTGTGTCTGAAAAAGGGTCCCTGGAGAATATATTAATAACTCAGTAACGGGAGGAGGCAGGAGGCTTAAACGTGTATGTGTGTGCGTCTGTGCGTGTGCGTAGCCCAGAAGGAAACTCCCCAAAAGGAAATGCATGTGAGGGCTCCCTGCCAGGAAAAGCGATCCGGAGGACTGCGGGAGCAAGGCTCCCTTACAGCGGGTGTCGCGCAGGAGGCCGGACTCGCAGACTCACCTCGGCCATAGCCCTGCGTGTGCTTGGCGAAGCTCCTCACCACGGCCTCCACGGCCTCTCGCAGCACTGCCGGGCTCCCGGCAGCGCCGGGGGGCAGGGGCAGTCCCGGGGCCCCAGACAGGAGCAGCGGCGGCGGGGGCGGTGCGGGAGGCGGCGGGGCAGGCGGGGGGCCCGCAGGGGGTGTGGCGGCGGCAGCCGCGGCCCCAGTCACTCCGGGCCGCAGCGCTCGGAGAGTGCCCCTCCCGCTGGTGCCCACACCAGGCTGCAGCCTCTGCGTTCGCATCGTCTCCATCCCGGCCGCCAGTGGAGTAGCGCCCTGGAGCCTGCCAGCCTGGCGAGCTAACGGACCCAACCACCCTAGTCAGCTTGCGCCTGGGGACTGAGGGCGGCGCCGGGGCCGAGCCGTCAGTCAAGTGGGGGCGGGAACGAGCCAAGTCCCATGCCAATCAGCAGTCACGGGGCGGGAGCTGGAAGGCTCCTGCTCCGCCATAGGCAAATTATTGAGGAGGGTGGAGCTTCTGAGAACCAATTGCAAAGAGAAAAAGCGTATCCTCTGAAAGGCAGACGCGGAGCTTGGGCGCGTCTTCGGGAGTCCTGCGGCGCGCACCAGAAAGAGGGCTAGAACCCTGGGGCGGGGCTTGAAGAAAAAAAAATGGGCCTGGATGTAAGACTGGGGAGAATTACAGACAGAGTAGAGATCATTTTGTTCTACCATTTCATTTTATAAATTGTAAGGGAGGTAACTGTGGCTCAGAGGAGTAATTTGACTTGTCCAACATCACATTGGTGGTGGAGCTAAGGCAAGAAAGATACTGACGTTTAATGAACATAAACTATGCAATGTACTGTAGTGCATGTATTATTTACAATCGCAGTCACTAACTGGATTTTATTATTTGAGGGTAAGGAAACAGATGCTCAGGGAGGCTAGATAAATTGCCCAAACTTAAATAACTAAGTGGAAATCAGAGGTTAGACTAAGTGTTCTGATTCCCAATATCTTTATCTTTTTACTATGCCACACTGTTGGGTAATTTTCTGATTTCACTTATTCTAAGTAGGATGGGCAAGTCTCTTTGCCTCCCATTAGAGTGAGAAAGAGTTAGGATACATGCAGAAAACTAGTAAACTAAGAAGTCCAGGTGGGGGAATTAAGAAAATTACCCTTGTTCATATAACATGTCAGGCTGGGTTCCTCTGATTACTTTGCACACACACACACTTGCACACATGCACACACACACTCTACATATCCTTTATCATGTGGTCACTGTACCATTTTTACTTAAGTGAGGTTATATTAACTGCCTTTCCCCCATCGTCTCTCCTACAGTGGCTCAGAAATCAAAGATGGGGAAATAAAGGCCAGAAGTAGAAGAAAAATAGAAGAAACACACTTGGTGACGCTTGGTGGAATGAAAATTAGACCCTGAATAAAAACAGTGAGTGGTCAAGAAATAGGAAGCTTGAAAAAGAGACATTTAATCCACGGGGATATATCTGCTGATGATGGAAGGAGAAACTCTTTGTAGGAACCTCAAATATTTCAAGGTTGAACATAGAGGAAACTGGAGGAAATGAAATCTTGTCGAATGCCTTAAAACCTTTAGGACACGGGACACTTGCCTTTTCTCTATAGCCACAGTTGGTCAGTTGGTTTCTTGGAAAGAAGGTGGCTGGAATGGCTAAGTATCCCCTGGATCATTACAGCTATAAGTTAGTATTACCCTCCCGCCCCATTCCTCATTCCCCATACCCACACCTCCAGGCAGAAGTGACAAAACAGAGACTCTGAACACATTTATTTGATATGTCAAGTGGAGAGAGGAGTGATTTAGGGTTTCTCCCCACTTCTACCTGTGGGGGTGTTCATAAGCTCAGACAGACAGAAGAGCAGCTTAGAGCCCATGGCCCACTCCCTGGGAAAATGAGACAATCTGTTGTAGTCGTTGGAGGAACAGGGTGGGAATAAAAAGCAGGAAGTTGAGAAGTGAAGTTGAGAGCAGGAAGACAGCAGCAGAACTGAGGCTGGGGGTTGCTGCAGGGACCCCCAAGAAGAGTGAAAAAGATATCCTGAAAAGTGGTTGGGGCTGGAAGCAGGGTGTGACTAAGGAGCCAGGCCTGGAGAAAGAAGCGAGACCTGCGGAATGGGCTAGGATGTTCACAGAGAGAGTGGAGTGTGCAAAATTAGGATAGGCTGTGTTGCAGGGCACAGGTGGAAAGCAAGGGACTGCTTCTGCAGGAGGGCAAAGACATCAGAGACTGCCCATAAGTAGGGGTTCCCTACTGCTTCTGAACAAATGCAAGAGAGTTTGGGACCCTAGCCCTGTGTGTTTATTGATGTGCTGTGCCTGTGGGTTCACAAGTAATCCCATATGCATGTGAAATGTCCAGGGCGTGAATACATGTGTCTATATACCCGGTAAGTAGAGTCCTTATTCTTTCTTGCTAATAAGAGTACTGTGCTTATGGACACATGCTTAACCATGTGTGGGTGCCCCGTTCACCCATGAGCACATGCAAGGGATCCCTGTTTTCCTGGTGTGTGTGTGAGCGGTTCTCCCACCTATCCCATTAAGGTCCTGGTCCCCACCCTCCTTGGCTCCTCTCACTCCTCTCAGCGCCCTGGCTCCCCAGGCCCACCTAGACTCTGGAAGCCCCCTAGCAGGCGGAGCTGCTCAGTCTGCATGGAGTGGCGTCTCACCAATTTGCGCTTGGTCCTGGGAGAGCCTGGCGCCCCGGCATAAGGAGGGGCAGGCAGCGAAGGCGCCCGACCTCCGGGTTGAGGGCGAATGTCGGGAATGGGAGGGTGGGGACTGACGTTGAGAGGGGGCAGAAAACCCGGCCGCGTTTGCGAGATGTGGTCCAGGAGCAACGTCCCCGAGCCCCTCCGCTCCAGCAGGCCCGGACTCCGCCTTCGTCCGCTTAGCGGAGATACTGCCCCTGGCAGACTCTCTTGGGACTGGCGCGGAGAGGGAGCCGAGCCGGCCGGAGGGAGGGTCAAAGGGGAGGCGCTATATCGGCGGCGCTCCAGGGACAAGCGGCTGGATTCTGGCGAGTCAGGGCAAAGATGTCCGGGGGTGTCGAGCTCCACTGGCTCCATGCGGCTCAGTTTCTGCCTCAGCCCTGAAGGGGGGCCAGACTCCTGAGCTTCTGGTGCTGTGTTTCGGCGCGAGAGAGGACCCCCGCAAGTCACTTTCTCCGCCCATGGGGGCGGGTCCTCAGGGCCTTCGGTGCTGTGACGTCGGGAAAGACGGGGTCGACCGGTCAGGGTCAGGCCGTTGAAGTCGGCAGTCAAGCGCTCGATCCCCGGTCTCCCTTCGGTGGGTGGGACTGGTTGAGGAGGGGCCACTAGGCCCCAGGGCTCGGAGTTGAGCCTTTTGAGTGGTTTTGGGGGATGGCGTGGTGGTTTGGGGAGCGGCTCGGAAGGGGAGGGGTCATCCGGGGGCTTAGGAAGAGGGAATTCAAATACGTCCCGCTTCTCCTCTTCTTCCTGGGCGCGAGGGGATAACATCCCTCGCCCTGCTCCTCCTGCGGTCTGCAGTTGGATTTCCGAAGGCGACGTGCAGACCCCCGGGCTAGGAGGAGCGGGAGCAGGATCCTCCACCCCCGGGGATGGTGGAGAATTGAGATACTGCCGGGTCTTCTTGGTGCCCGAGGGCGAGGTATCGGTGGTGATGATGATGACCTCCGTGCCCTTGGCCTTGCAGGCGTCCAGCAGCGTGGCAAGGGTCTCGCGGTCCCCGCGGTCCAGGGCGTGGACAAGAGCCGAGGCGCCCGCGTGATCTCGGACGGAGGGGTCTGCGCCGTGGGCAAGAAGCAGCGAGGCCACGGCGGCGCCCCCACCCCCGGCGCAAGCGTGCATGAGCGCCGTGCGCCCCAGGCGGTCTGCGATGTTGGGGTCCGCGCCTTGCTCCAGGAGGTAGCGTACCATGCGTGCCTTGTTCTGGGGGTCGTCGTAGCGGGCCCGACAGGCTGCCATTAGCGCAGTCTCCCCCTGCGCATCACCCTCATTCACGTAGGCGCCTCCCTCCAGAAGCAAACGGGCCAAGCGTAGCTTACCCTGACCCACCGCCCGAAGAAGAGCGTGGCCCTCAGTGTGCAACATAGCTGAGGCTGGGGCGAGGGCACAGATGGAGCCGCGACTGAGAACCGCCGAGGACAGCTAGGCGTGTGTGGGGGGTGGATGGCAGAGGCCTGAGGTCTCAGTGACGAAGCCGATCCCTGCAAGAGAGAGATCTTATTGATAGATTTGGCAGGGAAATTGAGGTACCAACGCAGGGACCCAGCGTGGGGTGAGGGAGACCTTCACGGCATATAGACCTTCCTCTAACTCACGCCTTTGAGCTGGCCCTTCCCCCGCAGCGCATGCCTGAGGAGGTGGGAAGGGTGCACCCGCACTGAAGGACTAGCGCGCGTGCAAATGCGTTCGTGCACGCGCAGGGATGTCCGCACCCCCACCCTCACCCCATGGCTTATCAGACCTTTCCTCTATCCCCCTTTTCTTATCCACACTTGGGATCCCCCTTTCTAGGATGCTGAACATCACCCACCCACACACATGGACCCTACAGTCACACACGTATTCTCATTCCTAACCTCTTTTAGCTTGCCACAGCCCCAAAAACTGAGTGGGGGGAGGGAAGCATCCTGCATTTGGGACCTAAAACGGGTGGAGGGAGAATTGGGGGATTCTTTTGCCCCAGCGTTGTTCCCCATCACTCCTTGCTCTTTCCCCTCCGAGCCTGTGCGCCCAGATAGATACCTGAATGTCCGCAGAATCTCCGCCTGGCCAGGATTGGGGCCGTGGCCACCGGGCAGCCGAGGTGGCAGAGCCAGGTTCCCGGGGGCCCGCATGGCGTGGAGGGGGGGGCACCAGGATTCCCTTGGTGTCAGTATCTGCGCCCCGGCGCCGGATCCTGGTCCCTCCTCCCGGAGCGCCCCGGGCACAGCGCCGGCTCGGGAGGAGAGAAGCTTGGGGGGGGGGGGGGGCGGAGCTCTGCTGCACTATTTATAGCCTAGTCTCTGCGAGTGGGGGCGTCGGGCACCAAACTGCTCCCCCACTCATGCACACATAAACCCTCAAAAAACCTAGAGGCTCCAATCCTGACTTTCCTTTCTTAGCCGACCTCCTCTCAGCCCCAACAAACCTAAGTGTTCCTTAGGGGACTCTGCGACCCAGACAGGGACCATCATGAAGATTCTTCGCCGAGCTTCAGTAGATCCCCATTCTCCGCACTTGGTGTGTTTATGCGCTCCTGTGCGCCAGACCTGACCTGCCACACACGCGACACATGGCACACTGTGCAGAAGGCCGTAGAGAGGCTTTTTGGATCCACACCCGGTGTCCATACTGTGCAAAGAGAGGCAAGAGATGTGGCTGTCTTCCTGGAGTTTAATTGTGAAGGAGAGCACGGTCCAGCCTGGAGTCAGACACAGATACACCCCCGCCCCATCTCTCAAAAACGGAACAACCATCACAGAGAAATTTGGACCTCAGCTCCCTTATATAGACCTTTTAGATAACTATGAGGAAGGTGGATACGGGGGGGGGGGCACTTTTAGATAGGGCAAGGGACATTCCCAGGTGCCTCCACCCATATTATTGTGGGAAGGGAGATAGGAAACCGGCAGGAAGAAGAGCGAACCTTGCAATAAAGTCTCTCATTGCATCTCTTTAATCTCAGTCTTGCTTAGACGTATTATTTTTTCCATCTTGCTTGAAGGTCTCTGTCTGAAACGCTCCTTCCATCTTCTCTCTTCCTATCTGTCTATTGGTCTCTCACACTGTCTCTGCCTCTCCTTGCCACCTGCCCTGTCTCCATGGTTACCATAGCTTCCATCTACATATTTTGGTACTGAGTTTGTGTCCAGCTGGAAGGCACCAAGGGAAGTGGGAGAAGAAGAAAAATGATAAGGATTTAGAAAGTTCACTCAGGGTCCTGAGCTAATTCAGAGGCTGGAGACCCCCCAGATGCAAGATACAGAAAATAATGTTCCCAGGGATGGTAGAAAGAAATATTTGCAGGAAGCTACCCATTGGTTTTGTTTGTTTGTTTTTTTAAGATGGGGTTTCACCATGACGGCCAAGCTGGACTTGAACTCCTAACCTCAGGTGATCCACCCACCTCGGCCTCCCAAAGTGCTAGGATTACAGGCGTGAGCCACCGCGCCCGGCCTGAAGCTACCCATTTTTACTAGTTAGTTCTTGGACACATGTCAACTACGTGCCATGTGCTTTACATACACTATCTTCAATCCTCACAACTCTATAAGGTAGGAACTATCATCTTGTTACAGATGAGGAAACAGACTTAATAAGGTTAAGCAAGTTCTCCCAAGCTTCACAGCTAAGTTTGTGTCCTATGGCACAGACAGGGCACTTGCCACTACGCCTATGGCCACCCAGTCTACAGGCCGTTTTCTCTAATATCTGGGATGTTCTTCTTGACTAACTCCTAGATTTTATCTTCATTCTGAACTCTTTCCCCCATTTATGTTTTTTTTGTGTGTGTGAAAATAGGACTCCTCTTTCCACTCTGCCCCGTTTCCCAAGGGCTTGCAGGAGGTGGAAGGTAGTGGAAAATGCAGAAAAAGCCTGGGCCCGATGGCTTGCGCCTGTAATCCCTGCATTTTGGGAGGCCAAGGTGGGCGGATCATGAGGTTAGCAGTTCGAGACCAGCCTGGCCAGTATGGTGAAACCCCACCTCTATATGTAAAAATTCTTTTTTTCATAAAAAAAAAAAATGCAGAAAAAGCTGGGCTTCTGCCCTGTCTCTCCTAGTACTCTGATCCCAAATTCTTCCTTCCTCAAACTCTCTGCCCACCTTCGCACAGGCACGGCAGCAACCCACGGAAAAAACACATTTTTAGAAAAGAAGTATCCATTGGTGGTGCTGGAGAGAGGCCGTGTAGGATTGAAAGGAAGGCTGGAGTAGTGGAGAAGAGACCAAGCTGTGAAGCCAGAGCCACAAAAAGGCTGATCCCTAAAGAGCGGCTTTCACAGGGGTTTATTTCTTCGTAGGCCCACTTCTCTTATGGCCTCTCTGTGGGGGCTCCCTCAACACAGTCCCTCGATGAGATATGAGTGTCACGTTCCCTCGGTGAACTCTCGCCGGCCAGGGGCTCCTTCATCTGGAGTGAGACCGGAAACAAGTGACCGCAGGTGATTCTGCAACTCCAACTCTCTCCGCGACCTGCTTCGCAAGCCTCGGTTCCGGCGTATTGGCTTCCTCCCTCCTTCTCTCCCGAGGCTTCAAGAGGGCGGACCTCCCTCCTCGGCTTCTCAGGCATTGGCCGAGAGAACTGACCAATGGGGAGCTCGGGGAGGCGGGCCTAAACGCTGCCGCCTGGAGGAAGCCCAGTACGTTTCAAGTTGGCGGCGGCCTGGGCTCCGCGTGGGGGAGGGGCAGCAGGTAAGGCTCGGACCTGGTGGCTCGGACCTGGTTCGGTCCCACACTTCCCGAGCTTGTTCATCCCGGCCAGGCTGCGAAAGAGGCAACGCTTCCAGGCGGGTTGTTGGATCAGCCCCCTTCTGATCCCCACTCTTTCTCTCCTGGGCTCCCATTTCTGTGTTGATTGTATACTAGAGAATGGTAGTTTTCTGTCGCGCATGGGGAGAGAGATTACAGCAGAAAACGAGACAGCCTCTTGTACCTCTCTTTGGTATAGCATCACCTTCCCCCCAATCCATTAATATTATCCCAAGAGCCTGACAAACTCCTGTTATCTGTGAAGACTAGAGGAAATACTACCTTCTACCTGTAGTTTTCCTGGGCTGCCTTTCTTGCAAAATGAATTGTTCCCCTGTCTGACGATAGCGTTTTGTGTATACCTTTATTAGAACACTTAGTGCACTCTCTCCCTTTAATGTTTCCATGCTGTTTAGAATAGAAGGTTTTGTAGGACAGGTGCTAGTGGTTAATACGTAGCGCCCAATAAACGCTAGTTCAATAGAGTTGGTTTCTGGCAACTAGCACACTTTTTGGGGAGGCAGAATTTAAACTCCTAACATAACTAGGGAACAATAAAAGACAATACAGTATGTAATTAAGAGCCGTTAAATTAGTGGTTCATAATACTAGGGTTTCATAATTGTTTCTACAATATAGAGAAGGAAGAAACCAAGGAGAACTGGAATGGTGAGGGGAGATCTCCTTGAGGAGATCACAAGGTCTCAAGTTCGGAAGGGCCCATAGAAGTCATGTATTTATTCATTCAACAAATATTTACTGAGCAACTACTATATGCCAGGCACAATGCTAAACCATGGTAATCATAGGGAATCCTCTACTAGAGGATTGCAAAGCAATGAAGAGTCAGTAAATGGCCATGAGCTTTGAGGTCAGACAAATCCAACACCATTTCTACACAGTAAATGAGTGATCCTCTAAGAATGCAGGGAAAAGAAGAAGACAAAATTTTACTTAATCCAGGTTGGGAAATAAACCATCCATAGGAATGGTTTAGGAATTTACTAAATTCCTGTTTTTGATGACTGACAGTTTTGTGGAGTTGAGTATACAGGTAGGATGCCTTTCTGCTGGAATTTGTCTGATGTTTTTCTCATTATTAACCTGGGCTTATGGGTTTTTAGGAAGATGATCACAGATTGAAGTACCATTTTATCATAAGGGCATATACTGAAAACATAATTGATGAGTATTGATGCTGACCTTGATCATCTGGTCAAAGTCGTGTTTTTCTGGTCTCTCCACTGTGAAGATATTCCTCCTGATTTCCTAAATTATGTTGAATTAAATTTCCTGTACACAGTCCACACATAAGAAGTGGAGCGTTATAGCCGGGTATGGTGGCTCACACTTGTAATCTTAGCACTTTAGGAGGCCGAGGGGTGCGGATCATCTGAGGTTGGGGGTTCAAGATCAGCCTGACTAACATGGAGAAACCCCATCTCTACTAAAAATACAAAATTAGCCAGGTGTGGTGGCACATGCTTGTAATACCAGCTACTCAGGAGGCTGAGGCAGGAGAATAGCTTGAATCCGGGAGGCAGAGGTTACTGTGAGCTGAGATCCTGCCATTGCACTCCAGCCTGGGCAACAGGAGTGAAACTCAGTATCAAAAAAAAAGAAGAAGAAGAAGTGGGAAGTCATGCTCCCCTGCTCCCTTTAGGATGGAGTGTCTACATATTTTATTTGGAATTCTACGTAAGAGATTTGTTTATTCTCCCCAATATAAATAGATGCAGTCATTTATTCATATCACTATAAACTCAGATATTTATCTTATACTTTGGGGTTATAATCTAATACTACTTTACTTATTTTGTTCCTCAAATTGTTCCAGCTTTGATGTTGGGAGCTTTTTCAGTTGGCTCTTA